CCCTTGTCTGTCTCCTACCCAAGACATCCCTGGTGCCAACAGAGAAGACGAGGCCTCCTCCCCTGCTCCCAGGAACGGGGACGTGCTGTCCTGAACCCTTCCCTGCTGCCCTGCAGGCTCCAGCCTCTGCCCCTACCCCTTCTCAGTAGGCGCAAGGACAGGGAGGGCTCGGGCACAACCGCGTGTATACGTGTGTCACCGGTTCAAGAAGGTGCGGGCACGACATCGAGGGCACAGTGTCCGCTGGGTCTGGGCGGAGGCAGCTGACCTGATTCCTGGCCTCTGCCCCCAGGAGACGTGCCAGTACCTCAAGGACTACCTGATGCAGCTGCTGATCCCCTACGTCGTCAACGTGTCCTGGGCCGCCCACTATTGCAGCTGGGCCCAGTGCCACGGCCACGGGCGCTGCGTGCGCCGAGACCCCAGCACCAACACCTTTCTGCACCTCAGCGCCAGCAGCTTCCGCCTAGTGCCCAGCCACACGCCGGGCGAGCCCCCGCTGCGGCCAGAGGGGGAGCTCAGCTGGGCCGACCTCGACCACCTGCAGAAGCACTTTCAATGCCAATGCTACTTAGGCTGGGGCGGCGAGCAATGCCAATGGGACCGTGGGCGGGCAGCCGGGGGCACCAGGGGGGCCTGGGCTGGGTCCCGCCTCACTGGCCTGCTGGCCGCGGCAGCCCTAGCCCTCACCTGGACTTTGTAGGGATCTCCCACCTGGCTTCGGGCAAGCTGGCCTCTGCCACAAGGGCTCTGCCAGGCATGTAGGAGCCTGCACAGGGTGGACGCATGAGTCCAGAGGGGGCAGAGCCCCTGGGATGCCTGGAGGGATCCACATCCGCTCTCACCCCCTGTTCTAAGGGGGAGGGGCAGTCCCTTGGGGGACCCCTTCTGTCCCTGCCAGAGGAAGAGGGACATGGCCCACTCCCCTGCTCCTGGGTAGTTTATTATTATTATTTCGGGGTCTCTTTTGTAAATTAAATATAAAACAACTGCTTCTGTGCTTGGATGGCCTGTCCCTGGGCCAGGGCCTGTGAGTGCGTGCTCTCTTCCGTGAGGTTGGCGCCCAGCTCTGTCCCTGTGACGCCTGTTAGGGACTTCTTGTCGGTAAATGTGTCACTGGGACCAGGGCCTGCAGCCCACTCTGCAGCTGTCCTGCTGGGACGGGGCCCTGGGAGCGGAGGGCTCGTGCCACCCCCCCCCCTCCCCCCGCCCATGCCCAGGGCCTTGCTTTCTCCGGATTGACTGGAATGCAGTGGAGCCCAACCTCCTGTGAGGGACGACTCGCTGCTTCTGGCCCTGCAGCCCAGCTGGGCTGGTGCCGGCTGCCTCGCCTGCCCACCCAGGGAGAGACGGGGAGTGGATGTTTGATGTTCCCCAGCTGGGCAAGTAACCAGACCACCTCTCCCTCCGTTCCCACAGCTCCCGGGCAATGGACTCCAGCCACACCCCTCACCCCTCACCCCTCTGGGCCACAGTCCTCCACCGGGTATGGTCGGAGGAGGCAAGAAGGGATTGGGGTCTGGATTCTGAAATCCCGTCCCTGTCGCACTGCAGTCGCCTGATGGGGCAAGGGGGGTACCCAGGGCCTGGGAGCAGAGACATCCTCCAGGTCAGCCCTGTTCTGCCCCCGGGAGAGCAGGAGCCGTCGGAGCAGTCAGACCTGCTCTGCCCTGCGCCACTCCCTGCCCCCGAAGGGAGTTCCCTGGGTGGGTCTCCCGGGCCTCAGCCACCCCACCCGCACCCGGTGCCCCTGTCCTAGTCACGATGACTCAGCGCCAGGAACGAAGCAGGGGCAAAGGTGGCGGAAGCTGAACGCCGCGGGGATGCCAGCACGGGGCTGGATGTGGCCAGGCCTCTATCAGGCAGAGGCAGGAGGGGCACCCGGAGCCGCACAGCCTGGCTGCTGAGGGTGGTGCCCGTTTCCCTGCTCTGTAAACAGCACACGCACCTGCCAGCGCCGGGCCAGCCGCAAGGGATGCGGCCGGGAATCACCATAGAGACCGCTCCCTGTCCCTGTCCCTGTGCGGATGGCAGCGTAGAGGGAGGTGCACACTGGACATGAAGACCCAGGAGAGCGCTCCCCAGAGAAGCAGGGGGCGAGGGGGTCGTGGTTAGGGGAGCAGAGCCTGCGAAAGCAAGTGCCACTGAATCAGTGTCCACTCAGGCTGTCAAGCCATCCTTGTCCCTCCGCCTGGTGATGGCAGAGAACAGAGAGAAGGGGCTGTGGTCACCCTGGGAGGGCAGTGTCAGGCCCCTGGTGGAGGAGGGTCCCGAGGTGAAAGGGTTCCCGGAGCTCCTGGCTCAGTGCGAACAGACCTGCTAGAGAGAAGATTCGGGCGTTGGTCAATGAGACCATGAGATGATGGAGCCAGCGGAGAGAGGGCAGCTCTGACCGCCCCGCACAGATGTAATCCAACTCACATCACCTCCCAACCCCGGTGATGGAGGCACACCTATGACCCCTCCCACGTGGCTGGGACCGTCCCACCTATGTAGCTATGACGTCCGCATACACACAGCCCCCTACATGCGGAGCTCTGGTCCCCCACCCGTGTGACCTCCTTTACACACTCTGACTCCTCCATACAGACCTGTGAGCACCTCCCATCACCCCCTGGGGGACCGGGAAGACACCTGGAGAAAGTGCAGCCAGGAGATGGCCAGGCGGGGGGTGGGGAGTGAGGTGACCAGGCCTGAGGTGTGCCCAGCGAGAGAGCAGGTAGGTCTGGACCTGGAAGCTGGCTCACCTGTGAGCAGCTTAAGAAGTACATTTCTTAAGAAGAATCAGTTCTGCAGCCTGAGCCTCTGGATTGGCCTGAGATGGTTATCAGATGTGTGGCCTGGACAGTGGACAGCAAGGTCAGTTCACGTCTGGTGCTCTGGGGATGGGAGTCCTTCAGGGGGTAAGCAGAGGGCCGTCTGGGGGTCTGAGGTATGTCTAGGCCTTGATGCAGGACAGGAAAGTTCAAAACCTTAAGGTCGCAGGCCAGGTAAGACAGAAAGCAGTCCTCCCTCACGGCTCAACCTACTTGATTGTGGTACTTTAACAGCTTGACTATAGTGACTCCATTTTACTTCCTCACTCTATTCCTCGGACCCCAGACACACATCACTTGGACCAGACCCACCCTGCAGAAGCTAGCTGTGGGTGGGGCCCTGGGGTGGGGCAGGGCCGCAGGCACCCCGCTGCTTCCTGCTGTTCCATTGGAGCTTCGCCCTTGCCCCGAGCCCAGCCAGCGAGAATGCTCGCCTGCTGGTTGGCTGGATTGTGCCAAGCGCAGCACGAGGTCTGCCGGGGCGGCAGGAGGCAGCACGGAGCCTCAGGGCGAGGGGTCCCCGCTGCCCTGGGTCTGATGCTCATTGCTCTGGGACCCAGCTTTCCGAACAGGCTCAGCAGCCACCACCTCTGGCCAGATCCTGTGCTCGGCTTGCAGCTGACGTGCCCACAGCACCCTGGACCCTCCTCTCCAGCCGTGCCAGCCTGGAGGACCCAGCCCAGGTGGCAGCCAGCTGTGCCACTGCTCTGGTGGCCACCACGCCACTGGCTCAGGCTCAGACCAGGCTGCAGACCCAGGCAAGCACTTGAACCTGAGCCAGGGACCTGCTGGTTCCTCCACCGCCCTGGCAGGCAAGCCTGGGCCTGTGCACCCAGTAGGTGTCAATCACTAGTTTCTGAATCAGCCAACAAGTGGAATCATAAGGAATGAACAGGCGTGTGGTCACCCGACAAGCCTCACAGTCACAAGACAACAGCGTCCCACACACACACACACACACACACACACTCACACACACTCACACACACACTCTGCTGGTTTGTGCAGAGGCCCCGATGGCCACTAGCTGGGGCTTCACAGACACAGCCGCTGACCCAGCAAGTGGACAAAGGGTGACAGCACAGCCCTGACTTCATGAACACAGTGCCTTTCAGACACAGGTCCCTAAAGCTAGGCAGGGGCCTAGACCACAGGACTTTAGAGGCCCATAAATGTTTAATTTTTTAATAGAAGCCGGAACCGGTTTGGCTCAGTGGATAGAGTGTTGGCCTGCGGACTGAAAGGTCCCGGGTTCGATTCCGGTCAAGGGCATGTACCTGGGTTGCGGGCACATCCCCAGTGGGAGGTGTGCAGGAGGCAGCTGATCGATGTTTCTAACTCTCTATCTCTCTCCCTTCCTCTCTGTAAAAAATCAATAAAATATATTTTTTAAAAAATCTTAATTTTTTAATAGAAGAAAAATATATAAATAATGAATATGGAATGGATGCAGTCTGGAGTGTGTTTGTCTTTATACCAACATACTTGTAAAATATATTTTTAAAAAATTTTTTATTCAATCCCCGGCCAGGGCACATAAAAGAATCAACCAATGAATGCATAAATAAGTAGAACAACACGTCGATGTCTCTCTCCTTTCCTCTCTCTCTCTCTAAAATCAATAAATGAAATATTAAAAAAAAATTTTTTTTGCCCAGCCAGCATGGCTCAGTGGTTGAATATAGACCTGTGAACCAGGAGGTCACGGTTGGATTCCCAGTCAGGGAACATGACCAGGTAGTGGGCTCGATCCCCAGTAGGGGGCGTGCAGGAGGCAGCCAATCAATGATTGTCTCTCATCACTGATGTTTCTATCGCTCCCCCTTCTTCTCTAAAATCAATAAAAATATATATTTTTTAAAAGAACAAAAATGTTTTTTAGGAAGGGCCCACCCACAAAAGCAAAAGTGCCCAGGGCCCCAAATGTCCTCGTGCAGCCATGTGGGGGGCAAGCACCTCCCTGGGTATCAGCCCCAAGATGCCCAGATTCCAGTACCACACAGGCCTGCCCCCTGCACTGCCTCCACCCCACCCCCACCCCAGCCCAAATAAAGCCACAAAGCCCTGCCCTAGTGCTGACTGGGGGGGTGGGGGGGCACTTCCGGCCCAGGCCCCACCCCCTGCCGAGGGCACTTTGCTGGGGGTGGTGAGGTGGCTCTTCGGGAGGGCCTGGCCCAGCCCTCCAACCCAGGGCCCACCCCTCAGCCCGCCCCCAGACTGGGTGGGGTGACCCCTACAGAAGCTCCGAGTTGCCAGCAGCAGCTGCTTCCTCCTAGAGTCCCACACCCCAGTCGGGAAGTCGGGAAGTTTGGAGGATGAGGATGAGGCCCGTCAGCCCTGAGGTCAGCAGGGACGAGCGGGCAGGCTGGGGGGTGTGCAGGAGGCTGTTCTTGGTCCCTGAGCATCATTCCCCCCTCCCCCACCCCCGTGGCTGGTGGGGATTCCTGAGGGAAGAGACAGGAAGGGCCCAGCCCCACCAGTCCCGTCAGCATGGGGCAGGCCTGGCTCTCTGCTCGCCCCTCAAACAGCTGTCCTGGCTCCTGTGGCCCTTGGGGAAGTGGGGGGTGGGGGGGGAGCCTAGGCAGGGCAAGGCCTGTCCCGAGAGGCAACTCAGATGTGCCTCCAGCCCTCTCCCTGGCCCCTCACTTCCCTGCGTCCTCCCAGGCAGTGCCACCTGCAGTCAGAGCAGGGCTGGACTGAGCGAGGGACTTGGCCCGCCTCCCCGGCTGGGTGAGCGAGTTCAAGGCCCGCTCTCCGCTCTGCCTCCCCTGGCCAGGTTTCCCGAGGCCGGCCCTGTGCCCTGGCAGCCCACCTGCGTCCCAGCTGCGCCCTCCTCCTGACCCTGCTCGGCGTGGCCGCGGGCTCCAGGGGCCCCGTGGTGCCCAGCCAGCCCTTCACCACCGTCTGGAACGCCAACACGCAGTGGTGCCTGGAGAGGCACGGCGTGGACGTGGACGTCAGTGTCTTCGACGTGGTGGCCAACCCAGGGCAGACCTTCCTGGGCCCGGACATGACCATCTTCTACAGCTCGCAGCTGGGCACCTACCCCTACTACACGGCTGCCGGGGAGCCCGTGTTCGGTGGCCTGCCCCAGAACGCCAGCCTGGACGCCCACCTGGCCCGCGCGTACCACGACGTCCTGGCGGCCATGCCTGCCTCCGACTTCTCGGGGCTGGCGGTCATCGACTGGGAGGCCTGGCGCCCACGCTGGGCCTTCAACTGGGACACCAAGGACATTTATCGGCAGCGCTCGCGGGCGCTGGTTCAGGGGCGGCACCCGGACTGGCCGGCTCCTTGGGTGGAGGCAGCAGCCCAGGCCCAGTTCCAGAGCGCCGCGCAGGCCTGGATGGGGGGCACGCTCCGGCTGGGCCGGGCCCTGCGGCCCCGCGGGCTCTGGGGCTTCTACGGCTTCCCTGGCTGCTACAACTACGACTTCCTAAACCCCAACTACACAGGCGAGTGCCCGCCGGGCGTCCGTGCCCAGAACGACCAGCTGGGCTGGCTGTGGGCCCAGAGCCGTGCCCTCTACCCCAGCATCTACCTTCCCGCGGCGCTGGCGGGCACAGGGAAGGCACAGATGTACGTGCGGCACCGAGTGGGTGAGGCGTTCCGTGTGGCTGGGGGTGCTGGGGACCCCAGTCTGCCGGTGCTGCCCTACGTCCAGATCTTCTATGACATGACCGACCGCTTTCTGTCCCTGGTGAGTCTCCTCCTGTGACCCTGCCCACCTTTCAGCCCCTCCTCAGGCGTTAGGTCCAGCAACTGATGCCACACAGCCTGGTGGCACCTTCCTCCCTTCCTTCTCACATCCTTTGAACACGTGTTGTGTGCCAAGGTCTGTGCCGGGACGCAGTCCCCGCCTGCATGGCACACAGGCTAGAGCGGGGCAGGCTGGCCTCCGGCCCCAGGGCCAGGGCTGCCCCAGGCGGGGAATGTGAACTGTTGGGCTCATCCAGGGGTGTTCCAGCGCTGCCTGGGGAGGGAGGGGGGAGGGCCACAGAGCCACCCTGTCCTTTTCCCCAGGACGAGCTGGAGCACAGCCTGGGGGAGAGCGCGGCCCAGGGAGCAGCGGGAGTGGTGCTCTGGGTGAGCTGGGAGAACACGAAAACCAAGGTGAGCTCAGGCGTGGGGCGGGGGGCCGAGGTCGGCTGGGGAGACCTGGGCCCATCCTTTCTACCCCTGCAGTCCTGCTGGCTGGCCAGTGAGGGCCTCGGTGCCCTAGGTGGGCCCAGCGTGGCCCGGTGTCCCTGACGCGCCTCCTCCCGCCCAGGAATCATGCCAGGCCATCAAGGAGTACGTGGACACCACGCTGGGGCCCTTCGTCCTGAACGTGACCAGTGCGGCCCGTCTGTGCAGTGAGGCCCTGTGCTCCGGCCATGGCCGCTGTGCCCGGAGCCCCAGCCACCCCGAGGCCCTCCTCTTCCTCAACCCCACCAGTTTCGCCATTGAACTCCCGCCTGGCGGTGGGCCCCTGACCCTACGAGGTGCCCTCTCCCCTGAGGATCGGGAACGCATGGCGGTGGAGTTCAAATGTCACTGCTACCCGGGCTGGAGGGGAGCCTGGTGTGAGCACCTGGCCACACCCCAGGTGCACCACCCAGTCGTGTAACAGCCTGGCCCAGGCTTCCCAAGGGCAGGCCCAGCTATACAAGTCACGGCCACACTCGGGGGTACCGGCAGGAGCATCTGCCTGTCATGCTCACATACCACGTACTGCCCGGGAGTCTGCGGACCCACCTCGGGTCTCAAACATCACCTCCAGAGACGGGGCTGCCCGTCCTTAAATGCAGCGACCACCCAGCCCTGTGCTGAGCATGTGGAGGGGCCTAACTCCTTCAGCCTCAGGCGCCGCTAAGGGGGCGCTGAGCAAGCCCGGAGGGAGCGCACTGCACCAGGTGGCACCGCCATAACGGAGCAGCTGGGGTTCCCACCAGGCGTCTGCTGTAGGGTGGCGCCCCTGGCTGCGCCCGCGGGGATGGCCAGCAGCCCGAACCCTGTAAATAAAGCCGACAGACGTGCTTCTCACTCCGAAGAGCTGCTTATTGAGCGCCTGAGACGTGCCGCTCCGGACCCAGAGGGCACGGGAAGGCCCCTCTCCGACTGACGTCTGTCCCAGGGCGGCTACTTCCCAGGGTGGGACCCAACTTCCAGGAGGAAGCGCCACTGGCCCTTTCCACGCCTGACGGAGGCAGGAGGCCGGCGGGAGCCGAGACAGAGCGGCGCGGGGGCGAGGCCAGGACGAGGCGGAAACGGAGGCGGCCGGAGGAAGGGCCCGCGCCCGGCCCAGCTGGTAGCACGCGGGGCGCCGGCGGGGGCTCCGGGGAGCCGAGCGGAGGCGGGTCCTTAGCAGTGATGCATGGAACCAGAGCCTGGCCTGTGCGGGCGGGGCCTGTGCGGGCGGGCCTGATGGGCGGGGCCAACGGGAGGCGGAGCAGGCGTTGAGCTGTGACGCGCAGGGGGCGGGGCCCAGCGCCAGTGGGCGGGGCGGGGGCGGAGCCTGCGTCGGGTCAGCGTTGGAACGCACGGGCCGGGGGGCGGAGCCTGGCCGCCCCGGGAGACTCAGGACCAGGTGGGGCGCCGCGGGCCGCGACGGCTACAGTGCCTCCGCCGCGCCGCTAGGGGGCAGCGCGGACGGATGAAGGAGTCCGAGCCAGAGACAAGGAGATCTGGAGCTGCGCAGAGCAGGACGCCGAGCATCCTGGAGCCCCGCTTCAACATGTCAGTACCGCCCCCTCCCCACGCGCGGCATGTCCGTCACCCTTGTCCCCCGCGCTTCTGTCCGCTCCGTGCGTAAGGTCACGTGGCTCTGTCGCTCCTCTCGCTCTCCCCGCGTCTGGGGTTCCCTCCCGGAGCATGCTGAGCCACACTCAACCGCTGTCAAGTTTCCCCGAAGCCCCCACCCCCAAAACGCCGTGGTTCATGGCCCACTGGGAGGGAGGGGAAACCGAGGCACAGGAGGGACAGGGCCGCCTATCTCTGAGAATCCAGGAACCCCGCCCACGGTGGGTTGGGTTGGTACGAAGGGGTTAAACCCGCGGGGAAGCCTGGGGTTCCTGGTCTAGATGCAGATCTTGGGGCTCCCTCCCTCTTGGTCAAGGGGTGCAGCTGCTGCGGAGGTGGCTGGTTGCAGGTGAGGGGCTCGGAGGTGGCTGGTTGCAGGTGAGGGGCTCGTAGCCTTCGGAGTGGACTGTGGCGTGAGGGGAGGGGCGAGCTGTTACTGACATGGGTCAAGCTCAGGGGGCTCCTGGGGGGCTGGGGAAGGGAGCCGGGACGTCTCCTCTGGTGAGAAGGTGAGTAGAAGAGTGGGGAGCAGCACGCCTCGCTCAGCCCCCACCATATGCCAGAAATCCCCCCAGCATGGACCCCTGCCTGCAGGGCTTGGGGCAGAATGGGCCAACAGTGGGGTTTGGGTGCAGGAGGTCGGGCCCCAACCTGGTGGCCGTTGGACCCCATGGACGTAGGAAGGAAGCTGTGGTCCTTATCTAGAGGCCTGTGGGGAGCCAGGCTCGCAAGAGCCCAGTGTGTGTGGCCATGAGCAGGGCCCTGCTGGTACTGCTGGGGCCCCTCTGAGGGGACAGTTGGCTCCGTGACCCTCCGAAGTGTCCTGAGAGAGAAGGAGGTGTGATTGTGGACGCACAGGTTGTACTGAAGCCGTTCTGGCCTTAACGATGGAGAAGGGGCCATGAGCCAAGGAAAACAGGTGCCTCTAGAAGCCGGAAAAGGGCAAGGAATGGGTTTTTTCCTGGAGCCCCCGAAGGGCCCAGCCCTGCAGAACCTTCACTTCAGCCCAGGGAGACCCATTTCAGGTGTCTGCCCTCCCAAACTACCTTTGTATTGCAAGCACGTGTGCGCGCACGCCCGGAGCTGGGCTGGGCAGTGTTGGGGAGGGGCCGTGGCTGTATGTCCCAGGCCACGAAGCCCGTCCAGGGAGGGGAAAGAGCCTGATGGGTGAGTGAGTGGCACAGCAGCCCCCCCGCCCCCCGCCGGTCAGTTATGTGGCGGGCATGGCCCACGGGGTTTAAAAGTGTGGCCTGGAATTCGGTGACGAGAGCAGCTCCTGAGGACAGCCGTGTTGCCTCCGGAAGGAGCCCTGGGTGGCTTTAAGCAAGGGGGTCATTGCGTCTGCTTTGCATGTTCTGCCTGATGGCCAGCCAGTCGCGATGCTGTGGGGCTAGATCAACTGTCCTGGGGAGGACAGTGCTGCAGCCAGGGCAGCCGGGCCAGGCCTCGGTCTCCATCCAGCGTGGGGCAGGGCACCTGAACCCATCCCACTGAGTCCACCCCCCCCCCCGCCCCCCCCATGCGCAGAAGTAGGTATTTTGTGGAAGAGCCACACTCAAGGGGCCAAAGAGCCGCATGTGGCTCGCGAGCCGCAGTTTGCTGACCACTGCTCTAGGGCACATGGCTCCCCGGGCATTCTGTCCACTCGTCCCTGCCCCAGCCCGTCCTCCCTCCTGGCACAGCCCAGCCTGGCTGGTGTCCACAGCAGGAGCACCTTGTGGTCTGAGGAGATGCCACTTCCTGGAGACCTTGGCCTGAACCCCCAGCCTGGCACTGAGCCACCTGCAACCTGAGATATGAGCCCGGCTCCCAGCCTGACCCTGACTCAGCTGAGCCGGAGCTGACTGAGCCTGGCCTCGCTGCACCGACCCCTCCCCTAGACCCTCCCCACTGGGTGGAGCTGATCCTGAGTACCAGCCGGCGGCGGGCTGACTCTGGATCCTGCCTGCCAGCTGGCGCTGACCCTGCGATCCAGGCTGGCCAAGCTGCCACAGGATCCTGCACACCAACCAGAGCGGACCCGGAGCCCCAGGCCGGCTGCGCTGACCCCGGGTGCTGCATGCCGTCCAGAGATGATCCCCCTTCCTGGCTTGACTGAGCTGACCGTGGACCCCCCACGCCAGCCAGAGGAGACCCGAGCCCCCGGCCTGGCTGCGCTGACCCTGGAGCCCGTGCACTGCCGACCTGAGCTCCTGGACGCCTGCGCCGACCTCATCAACGAGCAGTGGCCGCGCAGCCGCGCCTCCCGCCTGCACTCCCTGGGCCAGTCCTCCGACAACTTCCCCCTCTGCCTGATGCTGCTGAGCCCCCACCCCATGCCCGGGCACCCCCCCATTGTGGTGGGACATGCCCGCCTGTCGCGGGTGCTAGACCGGCCCCAGAGCCTCCTGGTGGAGACAGTGGTGGTGGCCCGGGCCCTGAGGGGCCGTGGCTTTGGCCGCCGCCTCATGGAGGGCCTTGAGGCCTTTGCTCAGGCCCGGGGCTTCCACCGGCTGCACCTTACCACCCATGACCAGCTGCACTTCTATGCCCACCTGGGCTACCAGCTGGGGGAGCCGGTGCAGGGCCTGGTCTTCGCCAGCCGACGGCTGCCCGCCGCTCTGCTCAGTGCCTTCTCCAGGGCCCCATGCCGCCGGCCACCCTGCAAGGCCCCTAGCCTGGCTGCCCACACTGCCCCCAAAGCCTCCAAAGGGCCATCATTGCCGCCACCCCCTCCCCTGCCTGAGCCCTTGGCCACCTCACTGCCCCCTCCACCCGGGCTCTCCCCACCAAGCCTGCTGGAGACGGGGTACCATGACCTGAGAGGAGACCCCATATTTTGGATGGAGAAGGACATCTGAGGGGCACCTGGGACAGGGCACCATCTTTCTGGTTCAGTGGACTCCCCAGGACAGTCCCAGCCTCAGCCCCTGGCCCCGGGGGCAGCTGAGTGCCGGTGGGACCAGGACATGGCTCCCTGGCTGGGGCTCCAGGCTGTCAGTGTGGCTGAATAAAGGCTTCTGTTGGGTGTGGCTATGACAGTTGATTTGTTGACCCCCACCCTCGCCTGCCTCCCAGGCTCATCTTAGGTCCCGGTCCCTGCCGGAGCCCACATCCACCTCCGCCGTGGACGGAGGGACTCCTGCCTTTGCCCCTCCCACTCCGCCAGGCTCAGGAGGAAGGTGTCTGTTCTCTTCCACATCCACTCACTCGTCACCACTCCCTGAGCACCCACTGTATGTCAGGCCCTGGGCTGGGCACAGGCAATGGGGAACTAGACTGACAGGATCTTGACCCAAGGGGACAGAGAGATAGGGAGACAGATAGCCTACAGTGGCAGGATGCATGCTGGGACCGGGGGAGCCCGTGCCCTCACCCCACCTGGAGACCCAGGAGGCCTCCCGGGGGAGGTGGGAGAGACCTGAGTGCTGAGTAGGCAGGTGGGGCTGAGGGCTCTGGGGCAGGAAGGAAGGTGGGCGGGCGGAGGGAAGGAAAGGACTGTGAGAGCTCCGGGTGGGGGTGGGGGGCCAGGGACGGAGAGCAGTCGGGAACAGCCCAGGCCAGCGCAGGGTGTGGCTGCTCTGAGAGGCCTCCGGGACCCCTTGGGGGCCATGCTTTCCCCTCTGTGGGGAGGGGCTAGGGACGCTCTCCCCGCTTCCCCTGCTGTGTGGAAGGCATGGCCTTGGACTCTAAGCTCACACCCTCTCCCCTGCAGGTCCGTTCCTGGGGCAAGACCATGCGGCTGGGCGCGGCCCTGGTGCTCGGGGCGGCCCTGTGCCTGGGGTGTGGCCAGCCCCTGGCTGGGGCCCCCGAGCACCCCTTCTCCGTGCTGTGGAACGTGCCCTCGGCGCGCTGCAGAGCCCGCTTTGGTGTGCACCTGCCACTAGCGGCCCTGGGCATCACTGCCAACCGTGGGCAGCGTTTCCACGGGCAGAACATCACCATCTTCTACAAGAACCAGCTCGGCCTCTATCCCTACGTGGGGCCCAGGGGCACAGCTCACAATGGGGGCATCCCGCAGGCTGTGCTCCTTGACCGCCACCTGGCACGCGCCGCTTACCAGATCCGCCGCAGCCTGAGGCCCGGCTTTGCCGGCCTGGCAGTGCTGGACTGGGAAGAATGGTGTCCACTCTGGGCTGGGAACTGGGGCCGCCGCCGAGCCTACCAGGCGGCCTCGTGGGCGTGGGCACAGCAGGTATTCCCGCACCTGGGCCCCCAGGAGCAGCTCCGCAAGGCCCGGGTAGCCTTTGAACAAGCAGCGCGAGCCCTGATGGAGGGCACCCTGCGGCTGGGCCGGGCACTGCAGCCCCGGGGGCTCTGGGGCTTCTATCACTTCCCGGCCTGTGGCAATGGCTGGCACGGTATGGCTTCCAATTACACAGGCCACTGCCACCCGGCCGCCCGTGCCCGAAACACCCAACTGCATTGGCTCTGGGCCGCCTCCAGCGCCCTCTTCCCCAGCATCTACCTCCCGCCCAGGCTGCCGCCCGCTCACCACCAGGCATTTGTGCGACACCGCCTGGAGGAGGCCTTCCGTGTGGCCCGCTCTGGGCACCCCCACCCCCTGCCGGTCCTGGCTTACGCCCGCCTCACGCGCCAGGGCTCTGGAAGGTTCCTGTCCCAGGTGAGTGAAAGCTGGTGTGCAGTGGGGAGGCCTGGCCCTGTCCTAGGAAGGTCTGGGCAGAAGACCTTGCCCAGGGTGGTGGGAAGGGGAGGGTCTGGTTCTGAGGGGGGCGGTCCTATCCTGGGCATCTGACAGGCGTGCCTCTGCCCTGGAAGTCAAGGTCGTGGGGAAGGCACGGCCAGCCTTTGGTGCCCTGAGCTGAGGGGAGACATTCTGAGTGGAGGGCCGAGAAGCCACTCAGGCTCAGTGCCAAGGGGCCCCACTCTAGAGGTGCAATCAGATTGTGGCACTGAGTCAGGAAAGTTTCTGGAAGGTGGAGGTAGGCCCAGGTGGGCTTGGCCAGCTCAGCCCGGGCTCAGCAGCTCTCTACCTCCAGGACGACCTCGTGCGGACCATTGGTGTGAGCGCAGCGCTGGGGGCAGCCGGCGTGGTGCTCTGGGGGGACCTGAGCCTCTCCAGCTCCGAGGTGATCCTTGCCCCCTCCAGCTGCCGCGCAGCCCATGCTGGGGCTCCCAGGCTGGGGGAGAGACCAGGCCAGGGCCATGGAGCAGGCACACTGAAGCATCCCTCCCCTTTCCTCAGGAGAAGTGCTGGTACCTTCATGACTACCTGGTGGACACCCTGGGCCCCTACGTGATTAACGTGACCAGGGCGGCCACAGCCTGCAGTCACCAGCGGTGCCATGGCCATGGGCGCTGTGCCCGGCGAGACCCAGGACAGCTGGAAGCCTTCCTGCACCTGCAGCCAGATGGCAGCCCTGGAGCCTGGGAGCCCTTTAGTTGCCACTGTTACCGGGGTTGGGCGGGCCCCACCTGCCAGGAGCCCAGGCCGACGCCAGGGCCTCAAGAAACAGCATAAAGCCAGTGGTCACCTGCTGTGACCCTCTTGTCCCTGCTGCCATTTCGCAGCCCTTGAGGATTCTGTCTATTTAGCTTAACAGTCCTCTTGTTCTATTTAGCTTAACAGTCCTCTCATCCACACACCCTACCCCCCATGGGATCCCTGGGGAGTGGAAGGGGCCAGAAAAAAATTCCACTGTTTTAAAACCAGAGGCCCTCTGAGGTCACCTGACCCCTGCTACAAAGGCAGCTGTCCTAGGGAGAGTCAAGGTTCCAGATGGTTAGGGTGCCAGCCCAGGGCCCTGTCCCTACACATCACTGGGTCCATGGAGACGCCGAAGGAAGGGGACCTGTCCAAGGGCAGGTGGGTCTCAAGATCTTGACTAAGGTCTGTACGTGCTAAACTGCTGTCTGTACTTTGCTTTCATCATAAAGTCACTCTTTCCTTCGCTGCCTGAGGTTTGGCTGTTCTCTATGTTGTCCCACGCCCCATGCTCATCGAGGCGCGAGTGTCCGGCTGCAAGTGTCCTGCGTGGTGGGCGGCTTAGTTTCAAAGTTAAGGATTGTGCGCGTTTGCAGGTGGTGTGGGTGGGGAGGACACAGAGCATTGTGGGTGCATAGTTTAGCCGGAGTCGTGGGCTTAAGGGTCACGGGAGTAGACTACAGTTCCCGAGATGCCCTGTGGCCAGCCGTAATACGCGCGCACAGCCCCCTGGGAGTAGTAGTTTCGGCCTCGTGGCTGTGGGTCTGGACCGGATGGCCAGGAACTCGCCTTCCCGGCAACCTGTGTAGCAGGGCGGGGCGCCTCGGCCGGTTTGGCAGGGCGGGGCGCCTAGCGAAGATGGTGGTGCGCGCGGCGTGTGGCTCCCGTCGCCTGCCTGAGCCTCAGCTCCGCGCAACGGCCGGCGTCTCGCTGGTCTGGAGCCCCAGTCCGCCGGGTCCCTGACCCCGCGCCCCTCGCGCCCGATTCCCGGGATGCCCCGCGCCCGTAAGGGCAGCGCGCCCCGCAAGGGCGGCCAGCGCCGCAGAGGCGGTAAGTGTGGGCTCGGGCAGCTGATCAACGGCGAGCGGGGGACCCTCTGTGGTCCCCGTCGGTGTCCCTGAGGGTCCTGGGCGGGAACTGCCTGGACCCGCTGGGCGCCGCTTCCCGCAGCTCCCCCTCGGCCCGCACGTGCCCCGGGACACGGCGGCCACGTGTGCGCCCCACCTGAGCGCGCTGCTCGGTCTGGAGCCTGCGCTCCCGACGCTAACGCGGTGGGCACCTCCTGACTCGGTTTCCCCATTGCTCCCTCGCCCTAGCTGCCTGCTTTGTCAGCCACACCCGCAGGACAGAGAAGGAAGCTCGCCCCTCCCCAGTCCCTGGCCCTTTCTTGGACTGGGTTAGAAAGTTGGTGGGAGGCCTGGGGGAGAATCAAGGGAGGGAGGGAAGGAGGGGGCGATGGGGAGTTGGGGGACTGCGGCCTCGGTGGACCTGGCCTAGAAGGCGGATGGGAGCCCTGGGGCCCGAGGCAGCCCTGGGAGCTTATCAGCGGGGACCAGGAGAGTGTCCTGGTGCAGTAAACACATGTTAGCTTGCACGGGTGGGGTGGGGTGGGGTGCCCGCTAGGCACAGCAGAAACCCGGGCTTGGGTGGGAGAGCATCTAAAAGGGTCGTGATATTCCAGAATGGCTGGTTGTGGGGGAAGCTCACGGAGTGTGTCAGCCCCAGAGGTAGGCAACCAAGGAAGCCGCAAGGTGGGGGCTTCTGGGGGAGCCCTGAGAAGGGGAAGGAGAGAGAGCCATGGGGAGGGGGCAGTTGTGCAGAGGTCTGGCCTCTGGGGGGGCCGGGGCACAGTGGAGCACCCGAGGGGAGGCTGGGCTGCCTGGCTGGTGGGAGTGAGAGGAGATGAGCAGAGGCCTGCGTGGGGGTTGGACTTTGTCCCCAGGCACATGGAGAACGTTGTTCCTGAGAGGTAGGACCAGCCTGATGACCAGACCCGCTTGGGGCTCGGCTGTGACCACCGCCCTGGCCAGCGCAGAACCCACACACGAGTGTTCAGTTCTGAGTGGGACGCTCCCGAGCTAGTGTTTTCAGGGGCTCCTGCAGTCAGGGGCCACTTACTTTCTGCACCTCCCAGGGCAGGAGGAACCTCTGTGTTCACCCGCCCAGGGCTGAAGGCCTGGGATGGACCCAGGGGAGCTCAGAAGGCAGTGTGCTGGAAGCCTGGGCGCCCACCCACACCCCTGGGACCTGGGCTCTGCCCCCAGGGCTGGTGGGTGAGGGGTGAGCTTGTGGCTCACAGAAGCGCCTTAACTAGTCACTTACTTAGTCGTTGTCTTCACTTGCCCTGACCTGGTTGCACCCCTGTTCAGAGGTGCAGCTGGGATTTGAACCCTGGGTCTGTCTCATTCTGTAACCCAAGTCCCTGAGTCTTGCTCTGGCCATTTGGGAGCATAATCTGGGCGGGTGACAGCTCCCCCAGGGGAGCCCAGGGATGCTCCCACCTCAGGCTGGGCCCCAGGCTCCCTGGGGCCTGTACGGCCCCTTCTGCCTCCACCTGGCTTTCGGTCTCTGTAAGGCTCTGGCTTTGGGTCGGCTCTTCAGGGGCTCCTAGGCTGGGCCTGGTAGACCTCGCTCCCTTTCTCCTGCTTCCTGGCTCAGCCCCTGTGCCTCCCACCTCAGCCTTGGTTTTCTCATCTCTGAGAGGGGCAGCATCCTGTCTCGGGGGGCCATGAGGCTGGGTGAGGCACCCCAGCCATCACTCACCCATGGAGACAGGCCAAATGGCCCGTTCCACCCTCCCCAGGTGCTCAGAGCAGCGCCCAGGCTGACTCGGGTTCCAGTGAGGACGAGGCGGCCAGTGAGGCCCGCAGCACCACCAGCGACTGCCCCAGCCTTCTCAGCACCGCGGCGGAGGACAGCCTGGGTGAGAGCGCGTGGGGGTTTGGCAGGGACTCGGTGGGGCCTCCGGGGCCAGGGCAAGACGCAGGGCTGACCAGCTGGCCTTGCAGGGGGGGATGCTGTGGACGAGCAGAGCCAGCAGGAGGACCTTGAGGAGAAGCTGAAGGAGTATGTGGACTGCCTCACAGATAAGAGGTACCCTGGCTGCCCGCCAGCCCGGCTCCCATGTCCCTGCCCAGCCCCTGGCAGATGTGGCCCAGGTCGGGCTGGCCCAGGGACAGACACCCTTCTTCATCCCCCAGTGCCAAGACCCGGCAAGGTGCTCTTGAGAACTTGCGCCTGGCCCTGGCGTCCCGCCTGCTCCCCGACTTCCTGCTGGAGCGCAGCCTCACACTGGCCGATGCCTTGGAAAAGTGCCTCAAGAAAGGTTGGATGTGGGGCACGTGGGGACCTGAAGTGGCCGGGTGCTGGCCCCGGTGCGTGGCTGACTGGACGCGTCCCCGCAGGGAAGGGCGAGGAGCAGGCGCTGGCCGCCGCCTTGCTGGGCCTGCTCTGCGTGCAGCTGGGTCCCGGGCCCAAGAGCGAGGAGCTGTTCCACGGCCTGCAGCCCCTGCTGGTGTCGGTGCTCACTGATGCCGCGGCCAGCCCTTCCGCCCGGCTCCACGTGAGTGCCGTGCCCCGAGACACTCTCCCCTCCCCATCCCTACGCAGAGAGGTGGCTCCTCCTGCCTCCAGGCCCCCTGCTCCGAGGCTGAGCCCCGGGCTGGGAACCAGGGCTCACTCCTGACCATGGCCTGGCTTTGTTCTCCCGACAGTGTGCGTCCGCTCTGGGCTTGGGCTGCTACGTGGCTGCCGCTGACGTCCAGGTACGTGGCCTTGGGGCATGGGGGGTAGAGCACCCAGGCCCTCGCTCCGCCCTGAGCCGCTCCCCTGCCGCCCTGTGCCCCTAGGACCTGCTCTCTTGCCTCACCTGCTTGGAAGGGGTTCTTAGCCGATCTTGCGGTGCGGGCAGCTCCACAGCCCCTGCCAGCCTGCATGGCCTGTTCCGTGCCACCCTGCAAGCCTGGGCATTGCTACTCACCATCTGCCCCAGCAGCCACATCGGCCACATCCTTGACAGGTAGAGGCGGCTGCCCAGGGGGTGCGGGAGGGGAGAGTGAAGGAGCCCTCAGCCCACACACGCAGCTCAGCTCGCCCCCTCCCCAGGCAGCTGCCCCGGCTGCTCCAGCTCTTGTCCAGTGACACTGTGAACCTGCGGATTGCCGCCGGCGAGACCATCGCACTGCTTTTTGAGCTCGCCCGGGACCTCGAGGTGTGAGGGGAGGGCGCCTGCTGACACCACGTGCCACCCCAGGCCCATGCAGGGGGTGCCACAGGAGACAGGGCAGCCTTAGGTCGGGGCGGAAGTAGCCCCAACACAGACTCAGGTGCCAGGGCCTGTGCTGGGGGCTCTGAGCAGGGTTGTCTGGCCGAGGCAGGGGTCCAGGCGGGGCTCAGGGGCCCAGGCAGAGAAGAAAGCAACTTCCTCAGTGAAAGGCAGGGTTTGGGCCGCCCGTGTGGAGCCAGCAGAGCTCAGGCTCCTGTGCACCCCCGCCCGCCCCGCCCCTGCAGGAGGACCTGACCTACGGGGACATGGACGCCCTCTGCGGCGCTCTGCGCACTCTGGCCACCGACAGCAACAAGTACCGCGCCAAGGCCGACCGCCGGCGCCAGCGCGCCACTTTCCGCGCGGTGCTGCACTTCGTCGAGGTGCGTGTGCGAACTGTGGCCCAGCGAGCGTGTCCCCAGGCCCGCCCGCCCGCCAAGCCCGGCCTCACGGCCCCTCTGCCCCGCAGGGCGGCGAGTGTGAGGAAGAGACCATCCGCTTCGGCCTCGAGGTGCTCTACGTGGACAGCTGGGCCCGGCGCCGAGTCTACGCCGCCTTCAAGGATGTGCTGGGGTCGGGCCTGCACCACCACCTGCAGGTGGGGAGGCGGGCAGGGAGGGGGCACCCGCGAGGCCGCTGCCCACGGGCCGCGCTCACTGTCCTCTCCGCCCAGAACAACGAGCTGCTCCGCGACATCTTTGGCCTGGGCCCCGTGCTGGTGCTGGACGCCGCCGCCCTGAAGGCCTGCAAGGTGTCCCGGTTTGAGAAGGTTTGTGCCCTCGGCTCCTGTGTTTTCCCTATATTCCCGCTGCCCGGAGCTCTGCAGGGGCCGCAGGAGAAGCCCTGCCCCCACCCCCATTCCCACCCCGACCCCCGGCTCACAGATCCCCACTCTGCCCCGCCAGCACCTGTACAACGCAGCCGCCTGCAAAGCGCGGACCAAGGCGCGCAGCCGCGTGCGGGATAAGCGGGCAGACGTCCTGTGAGGCAGGAACCGGACCAGCTGAAGAGGAGTCGCCACACCCTGCCCAGGTTTCTCACAGAAGACAGTGCAACAGCTGGTCCCTGCCAGAAAGTGTGGCTTTATTTTTTTAATGGCTAAACCAAAAACACGCGGGGTGGGTGGCTGGAGCCAGGCCACTTGGGACCCTGGCTCTCTGCCCCTGCACCCAGCCTGCGGCCCCTGCCTGCCCTGTCTCGGTCAGGCCCGATGCTCCCGTCCCGAGCTGTGCTCACCTGGCTCCCCTGGGGTGAACCACTTCCCTGAGGAGGGTGGGGGTGGCATCTGGACAAAGGTCACCGCAACAGGTGGGGAGGGGAGGCCCCTGGCGTGGCTTTATGTGCGGGTTTTTAAAGACTATTAGAGGTAATTAAACTGAGTGCGCAGCCTGCTGTGGCCCTGGCTCCTGGGTGTTTGCCTGCCCCCCCCCCCCCCCACGACCCCAGCTTGGGCCCAGCTCCGCCTCGCCTGTGCCCTCGGAGCCTCCCTAGATGGCCCTCCTGCTCAGCCTGGCCTGTCTTGAGCTGAGGCTGGAACCCCTCTGGGAAGCTTGGCAAAGTTGGGGTGAGTGGAATGGGGGCAGCTGTTTCTAGACTCAGGAACCTGCTCTCTGGGGAGGCCAAGGAGTGCTGGCAGGCCGCAGGGAGAGCCCGGAGGCTGGCATCGCCGCCTCTGACCTTGGGCCACCCAGAGCCGGGCCTTGACCCCAGGAGACCCGGCTAGGCCTGGCCCGAAGAAGCCAGGAGAGGCGGTCAGCTGTGGGCAGATGAGCTTCTTGCACAGAAACCTCACCAGGAAGTAGGTGGAGCAGCAGTGGGAGGGGAGAGGACAAACCTGCCAAGGGCCGCTTTATTCCCCCAACACACACACACACCCCCGACTCCAGGCCCAGGCACATCTCAGCTGGGCGCTCGGGCCTCGCTGGAGTTGAGCCTCCGCAGCTGGCTGAGGCTGGCCAGCCGCAGCTTGAGTAAGGTCTCCTCCTGCGCGTGCAGTGTGTGCGCCATGGTGCGGAGGGATTCGCTCTGCAGCACTGCGGGTGGCGGGGGTGCGGGTATCAGACCATGTGCCCCCCCCCCCACACACACACAACTCCCCACCCCCCACCCATCCAGCCCCACGCCACGGTGCTGTGAACCCCCCCCACCCGGCACTGCCGCCGCCTCTCCAGTGGCTCCCGCCAACCGCACGGGTTCCAGTCCCACTCCCTGGCCCTGGGTTCCCACTGGCCTTGCGCGCCCCCATACCGCTCAGGTAGACCCCCAGGATGGCCAGCGCCAGGCAGGTGAGCACCAGCAGAGCGAGCAGCAGCAGGAAGCCCCCGCGGCTGCAGCCAGGAGGCAAGAGGCCCAGCAGCTCATCCCATGGCTGTGCCTCCTCGGCCAGGTAGGGCACAGCAAGCCTGTGGGCAATGGGGCATCAGGAGAGTAATGGGGCGCTGGTCTCCTCTCCACGCCCCCGCCCGCCCCTCACCTCGCTGTGCAGG